ATGAGATTAGTGATGTATCTTGCTCGCTCAAGTGGAGAAAAAACGCCACCGTGTCTCGACCGGCTACTGCAAGGTTCATGATTTCATCGCGCAAGATGATCGGATCTGTCGAGATTAAACGTGAGCATACGTAGAAGATAATGAATAATCAGAAGATACGCACCGTTGGTATGCTTAATCAAATGGTCCAAAACTGTCTCGCTTTCCTCTTGCACCGTGTCCGCAGCTTTCTCTTGAGCCAACTTTGATCTTTGAATACCTTGCTGGATGACAGGATCCAAGAACGCGTGCACAACCTTCATCTTCTCCTTCGGGATATCTTTCACCATCTCTCTCAACGGCCACATGTCACCAAAGCGAATACGGACAGACGTAGCTGTTTGAGCTTCGTTGAATGAACGAGAGAAACGGGCGCTGAATGTCTGCGCAAACTGAGACGCGTCATCAGAGGCCGAGTGCGAAGGGTGAAAGAATGGGTACGGAAGAGGATCAGATAGTGTGCCAATGTCATGTCCGAACAGAAACTCAGTTGCAGAATCGAGTGTGAACCGGGAGACGACGTCCTGAGAATATGACATGAGAGGTTGTAGTTAGAATTCATTGAAACTCGAGACAATTTACCTGGAAGTCGGCAGCGTATCCTTCCTTGAAACGGGCCTTCAATTTACGAATCGCTTCATCCGCATGTCTATCGAAGATATCAAAGTGGGTTATTCGGTCTCGGCTAAAAAATGGGCGGGTAATGCTGCGATGGAATCTGGGAGTAAATGTGAATCACGAACGAGCGCTGTGAAAGCGCACAAGGACCCACTTCCAAAGATCTCCTAGAATGAAAGTTAAACCATGCTAAGAATGAAGTAGGAAATATATGCAGACCATCGTTGGCAAATACACCTGTTCCCAAGAGAGGTTGCATTGTTGTGAGAGTATCCTGACCTGGGCGCCATATCTTAGCAGGAGCGAAGGAGCCGTTATCATATAGTACGCACCCTTTACGAAATCTTCGAATTGAGTAGCCAAAAAAGCCTGCAATAGAAATTATTCATTTTTTGGAAAGTGAAAGGGGCTCGTTCGCGAGTGACCTTTATATGACTGGGTTCTGAAGTGACGAGCTTGGAAAGATACATAGTTGAACGGGGAAAAACTCGAAAGATACATAGCTAGCACCTACCCTATCCTCAAAAAAGATTCTCATATTAAATGTAGGACCAGTTGAATGAAGTCGATTTTTCAAAGCATCACCTATAAGAATAGTTGAGAGTTTGCCTACCGATGTAAGCATATCACACACCGATATAACCTTCTTTGGATTCTTGAATTATACCATAGAGAAATAGGAGTCCACCAGGTGTAGGGTCGTCCATGAAGGGTGGTTCAGGTAGCAAGACTGCACCCATACGAGCTGCGAGCACACGCTTGATGATCGCTTGGTAGCCAACACGAACAGTCAAGGCCAGCGGATAAGAGAGTATATACAAGAGTGTTATGCGCCATCCAGAAGATAAGTTATTAGAAATGAAGGAGCGGTATAGCGATAGTGCTGCGAAAACCGATGTAGGGGGCAGGACAAGATCAGGAAGTCGTTTGATGAGGAATCCTATTCCTGGAGGAACGTCGGTGAACATAGCTGTTGGTGTGTTGGTCAACTTTCAAGCCAGGGCGACCAACTTTGCCAGGGCGCATAATATATGCTCGAGCCTCGGATGTATAACCGTATCCGACGGACTGCTAACATGAGCTAATATGGCTTACAAGGGTCACGTCGTCAATTGGTTGTAGTGAAAGCTGCATGACCTCTGCTCTGGAAGATATGAACAGGAAATTTGAGTAATTTATACCATGACATGCACAAACCAAACTTGCTGGAACTGGTATGAGGTGAGTGTGACTTTCCTGAGCGGATGGTTGCGCTCAACCGCTATGGCCCTTCAGCGAAGAATGCGACATTGTGTGCGCGCTCAACTTGCTCATTCATCCTAAATGTGGTCAAACAGTTACACAGCTCAATAACAGCCACTTACTGCGTGACAGGCGAGCGTGACTTGCGGTGTCAGGCGCTTAAATTAGTTCCTTCCTCATCGTTTGACTTGTCAATCTCCATTTCGTAGGCTCAGTCGCTTTAGAACAATGGTACGGCGAAGGTATAGCAATACTAATCAATCCCTGGGCAGACAGTATGCTGCTTTCGAAAATTGGAAAGCTGTACATGTCCATAATTTATGAAGAGCTGTTGAACAAATTATTATCTCGGGATACAAAAGGCGTTCATGGTAATTAAACGCTGGTAAATCAATTCGTCAGCGCCAACCAGTGTGATCCGCTCCATTCACATTATATGGTCTTAGAAGGCCTTGACACAGCTGACGGGGAGGAACGGCGTCGATTAGCAATGCGCTTTCCATCGTAACCGACAACATATTAAGAATGTGCGGCAATGATTGTAACCAACATATTCTTGCGTACCTTTTGCTTCAGATGAAACTACATTCTCAGCGAAGCACGTCAAGCACTCCTCCTCCACGATCCGAACGTGGTCCATACAGTACTAGTTCAAGAGGAAGAGCTTGTGCAAGTTGCAGGCGACGAAAAGTGGTATGGATTGATTGCTGTGCTGTATTTTCTTCCAACGAATCTCACGAGAGTATGCAGAAATGTGACGGCGTCAAACCCATTTGTTCTCAGTGCCTTCGCCTCCCTACATCAGAACTTACGGAGAATAAAGTTTGTGAATACTCTGATCCTAAGTTGCGAAGAACGGAGGAGCAGGACCTCAAAGATAATATCAAGACTCTAGAAGCCCGCATACGGGAACTGGAAACGTCGTCCGATGCGTCCGCGGTGAGGTTGCATAGCCCGTATCAAGTGGAGCATTGTTATCCAGAGGTATCTTGCTCTGTCACTGTTCATACGCTTTTCTAACTGAACTCAAAATCGCATTACAGAACGTCCTTGGGCCTCCGCTGCAAGACGTCAATCTACCTAGTCCTCGATTGTGAGTACTTTCCGAATGTAATTGAACTTTTTCATATGAGTTTCATTCATCTATCTAGACTTGAGGTATTCTTTCGTCATGCGACTGAACTCGGATTCTTTCTTCACATCCCACGTTTCCGATATGCTGTAATGCTTCCCGTTGACTCGCCTGGTCGACCATGCCAAGGTCTCATTAGTGCTGTTCTCCTTCTGGGATCTAGCCTCACAAAAGAATACACTCCCGAATTCAACTTCCACAGTAATCCTCTCTTCGTCTCGGATGATGGAGTATCTGGTGCTACCACCAACCCTCAAGAAGCACTTTATCTTTCTCAAGCCCAAACTGGCATAGCAGGAATACTCTTGTCCTCACATCCTGACCGTATAGTCCACGGTATCCAAGCCGAGCTTCTTCTTTCCATCTATCTACTCCGCCAAGGTCGTATCTTAGAGGGAAAGTATCATCTGAGTGCAGCCACGTCTATTGCTTTCGGCGCCAAGCTTCATAAAATTCGTAGCTCGAACAGGGACAGAGATACGTTGACGTCCGCAGCTCTTCCGTGGGTGGTCAATACTCCCTCCCCTCCCTGTCAATCTGCGTTTCATCTCAATGTTGGCTCAGAAGCATTACTTTCTTCCCCTCCTGATTCGATATCAGAAGGCGAGAGGATTAATGCTTTTTGGACGGTGGTTACGATGAGTAATTGCTGGGCACTTGCCGCAGATTCAAGTCCAAATTTCATACTCGAACGGTACATAGAAAACATCGATACTCCATGGCCTATGGATATCGAAGAGTATGGACAGGTAAGGTGTAACATGAGGCTTTGCAACGCAATACCTCTCTGCCTCTTATACCTCACGCTGATATTAATGTTTCTCATTTTTCCAGAAATCACATTCGGAGCACCCCGACAGTGCAATTGTTGCCAAATTTCTACAAAGCCAACAACAACGGCCGAGCTGTATGCCTAGGGATACTGGGGATAGAGAATATTCAGCACTCGAGATGTGTGCGCAGGCTTCAATTCTCCTATCGCGAGCAGCTACTGTCGCTTTAGCATATCAACCCAGTATGTGTACAAAAATGCATCAAGTGCTGTATGAGTTCTGATTCACCGTGAACAACAGACATGTCATCATCAGTTGCAGCCAAATTTACCACAAGTTTCCTGGATCTCGATCGTCTCATAGATCACTTTAAAGCAACCCGCCTACATATCAGCTCAAGTAATCAGAGTTCGTCGGTAGGTCCAAACGATAGCCGCAAGTCAATGCATTTCAGTGCACATATGATAGCCCATCTTGCGACGATAGTCCTCCACAACAAAGTGGCCACGATGACGCCGACATCGGACTCACTGACATACTCGGTTCCGAGCGACAGCGGACAGAAACGATTGGAAGCTGCGGAGACTATAGCGGAGCTCTGTAGAAATCGGTGGTCACTCAAGGCTGGTAAGTTGCGGGAATCTGGACGTTCGCTATCTGCCAATCCCGATCCTGATCCCAATCCGTTCCTTGGATGCCTCTGGCTTGCCGTGGGTCAAGTTTTAATCGAGGAGATCGGCCTAGTGCGAATCCTAAGTAACGGGGACCGGTTGCTAGATCCTGAAGAGTCAGGCTCTGATAGGGTTAGCACTAGTGAAAGGGAAGCAGAGCTTTTGGATAAACTTGATTGCATATTCGAAAGCGCACAGTTATCGAGGGCGTACCATTCCCCTTTAGCTAGTAAGTGCTTCCATAACATTAAACATTCATCGGTGGATACAGATCTGATCACAAAATGTCCTTGCAGATTACCTCTTTGAAAAGCTGCAGAAGATATACCGGAGCCGACTGCAGGTCGGTGAAGCTTGAAGTCATACATAGTAGACCGGGTGAGAAGACGTTGGTGGAGTATAGAAGGAATCGGTATCGTGATTCGTTACCTGTGCGCAGACAACCTGCGTGTAATCATAACACACTTTGATATCGATATTTCTTGGGGATGAACACTGGGTACAAAAAACCAAAGGCAGCTATGATTCCTTCTAGCCGACTTGAACGACTGACCTCGTCATGCTTGTAACACAATACTAGTGACGCGCTCTACCAACTGAGCTAAGAAGGATGGACAAACTATATAGCTCCGAGTCAATGGTTAGCCTAGATTGTGCTTGGACATCTGGCAAATAAAACAATTTAGAGGAGCGGTGCAGACGTAAAACTACTCTAGTGGCAAGCTTATAATTCTTTAGCATCTGGTGAATCAGATTATGACATCTACTTGCAATTGAAAGACAGCAGGCATCGGTTTGAGTGAATGCCATTCAGCCTAGATGTATGGAGCTAGAATAACAGAAGATGAAAGCGTGTTTCTCTTTCATAGTTCTCTAGATCTGTCATTGGATTTAACTATTGGCAAAGGCAAAGTATTGAATGAAATTAGGCATCGACTGAGACCGAACAGCGCAAGAGGGTATCATGCGTCGCCGGTTCCACCAAGTGTTCGTGTGACACTGGTTACAGTGGTAAGGCTAAAAAGACGATCATTTCAAATCCAGCGCCATACTCACCCCAAGCCTGAGGATCAGTGATCATCAAGAGTGGAGTACCGATTTCTGATTGTCCATTATGTTCTGGTGCTAACTAGTAGCTACACTAATGCTGTGCCACATACTTACATTACTACATTCCTTTCTAGGGACTGGCGATATAATACACTTCCCCCTGATGTAACTGGTACACTAAATGTTTTACACATATGTGCTGAGAGTATTTATTGCACAGGATTTGAAGGGACACATGGAGTCAACACGGCTACATACACTGGAACACCGGAACACCCATTTAAACAAGCGGGTTTTACATCATTGCCAACATGAATCAGAGCCATATATGCGCTGTTTTTTTTCTATATTACCGTACCTTTGTAGATTCACGTTTATATCTCCTCACCGCTGGCCGGTCTCCGTCAAAACCCGTTCTCTGCTCAAAAGGTATAGCGCTCCTGCGATGCAACTCCTCCTTAGGCCTGTTCTGTTCATGGGTCTTCTCTTCATCGTAAAGACTTTTGCCACACCTGTTTGTACAGTGAGTGAAGGAGTTTTTGTTCTGATTGACGTGTAAGCTCTATTCTAATGCTACTCCATCTCAATATGTACTAGAGAGCTCTTCCGTCTTCCGATTCGAACTCAGGCTTTTGCAACGTGGTAAAAGTTCCTGCCAACTCGCCTTCCATTCATGCCCGTGCGCTTGACGGAACAAAAAAAGTGATTGAGACTCGCCTCACACTATACGCCCCGTTCTGGCCTGACGAAAGGGATATATCGGAAGAGTTTGCGGTTAAAATTTATAATGCTACGCAAATTATACTTCCGTCGCTTCTCCCGGTTCATCCTAAATCAAATAGCCTCAATATTCCAGTAAATTCAGAAAACTTGGCCTTCAAAGTCAACGAATTCCTTTATTTCGGAACGTCTGAAGACCAGGATTTCTCATTAGTGGTTGATCTAAGCCACAACGGGCAAAAGATTGACACCGAAATACGCTTCCAACAACGCACTTTTCAATCGCAATCATTGAAGGCGGGAGACCTTTTCGGTTATGCCACATACCGCCGACACCATTTTTTGCGAGAAACGTGTTTCAAATTCAGAAATGGATTCTACCAGGTCAGTTCCTCAATATAGCTAAGCTCTTCATAATTGACTGTCTGGTACTCACTTACAGCTGCCCGGAGACGGATACATGACGCGATTCCCTGAACTCGAAATCACGAAAGTGAGAGCTGTGAAGGCCAGAAAATATAACGACCTAGTTTTCACATTCGAGGAGGTTCAAGCTTTATTCTATACCATTTGCACCAATAGTGACTCATTCTTTTTTTTTTTTTTTTTTTTTTTTTTCCAAAGAACCCTGATCAGGATAAAAAAAGTGGCCAATCCGTGCCAGACCTTTTGAAGAAAGCCTGGGGCAAAATGGGCGGACGTGGAGGAGCGGGACCATCAGGATCATAATGGTTTCGCTGTCAGGCGTCTATGACTCTTCACACCTAATAACACGGGACGCAAAAGCCATGGCATCATATACTCTCACAATTCTTTATCTCAGCCCATCACATCGAGGACGTCGTTTGCATACGACTTTCGACTCAAATTCTCCCGACAGACTCAACACCGATGAACTTGAGACTAACGTATTCGTCTTCACGAATCATCCACGACGAATACGTCAGAAGTAGATATATGCTAGCATCTTTCTCTCCAGAATTTGATGTTATCTACTAGTACTACGATCTTTTTCAGCTTCTCGTTTTCCAGCTTCTCCAAAAACTGCGTTGGCTCTGGAGTATAGATCTTGCATATCCATGAAAGGAAGATTTAGGCACTATGGTATCATGCTCTCGATCTGGAATTCCGAGAGAGCCTATCACTTTGGAAGTGATAGGCTCTCTTGGAATTCCAGTTTGAAGACATGATCCTGTCGTGTTGGAGATCGGACCCCAGTTTCCTTCCATGGTTATGACCTTCAACAGGATCTCGTACCAGCAAATCGTAGGGATTCAATCCTTGGCCTAAGGCTGTCTCCAATACCTTGACTTTCATTTCTGATCCTGAAAACGAAATCACTAGGTATTAGATGGTCAGCCACCAAGCGATATTGGTACTCGCAATTGTCTTGGAATGGATCAAAGCTTTTTCCTGGGACTCATGCAAGGTGGACTCTGCTAACTCGAGGGCAAGTATACAGAGGTCCAATGTTGTATTCAAACTGACACTGGACGGCATCGGCAGGGTCCATGCGAACGTTTTCAATATTCCTGAAGCCAACATTGCAGATGTAGTGGGTAATTGCATCGTAGTGGGCATCTATGGCAACATTGCGCTCATTGGATATCAGAGAGGCAGTAGGAAGAGGCGTCGATTGTGAGCCATCGGAGGTTCTCGTTGAGGGAGGGCTCCAGCTCTTTGGACTGCCGACTTTCCGATAGTTTTGGACGATCAGCCTAAACGAAAGGTCCATCATTGTCATAATCACAGCTGTAAGTTGTCATAATTACTGATGCAGTATCGGAAGAAGGTTTTCTTGGCACGTAAAAAGTACGCTACTCTAATGGCAAGCTTATCTTTAGCATCTGGTGAATCAGATTATTCGATCTACTCGAAAGACAGCGGACATCTGTTTGAGTGAATGTCATTCAGCGCCCGGATGTATGGAGCTAGAATAACAGAAGATGAAAACTTGTGCTAGCGTGTTTCTCTTTCATGAATCTTTCTGGTTCTGCGGATCTGTCATTCAATTTAACTATTGGCAAAGTATTGAATGAAATTAGGCATCGATTGAGACCGAACAAGCGCAAGAGGGTATATCGTGTATCGGTTCCACCCTCGTGTGCTAGTAAGGCGAAAAAAACGATCATTTCAAATCCAGCCATACTCACCACAAGGATCAGGAATCATCAAGAGTAAATGGTGGAGTACCGATTCAACCTCCACAGGCGCCTACATATTAGGAAATGGACCTCACCAGTGTCTTGTACTGATTGTCTACTGAGAAAGGTTACGTTCTGGTTCTAACTAGTAGTAGTTACTATAGAGTGTAAACCGGCGTTTTCGAGGTTCAGGGATATATGACCAAGGTAACCAACGGACTCCGGCCTGTCGCAGCTTTGGATTTTGTTGTCACCGGACTTCCAAAGCTTTTCCCGAGGACGATAAATCATGATAGCAAAGTGTTCTACAGGGCTGGAACCGTCTACGCAGACGCAGCTACAAGCCACAGTTTATCAAACGAGACTAATTCTACTTACTGGATCTACCAGAACTTAGAAGCTTGTAAGTTGGCTGCTACATAGTACATACAGAGATATCACCTCTAGTTACGAGTCTGTACACCATGAGATCAACCAGTTATGTGTTCAGAGGAGTAGGATTAGTGTGTTCAAGTACATATGGAACCGGTGTTCTTCACTAGGGACCGGTCTACACGTCCTTCCTTCCTTCCAGCTCAGTCTCAATTCCCACTTTTGTCTCCAACATCCCGCTTTAGCCAAGCCCGAAGAACGGTTCACGTCTTCTGGTTGCGTGTTTACTAACTCTCCAGGGTGCTCGCCTTCGGTTCTAAATGAATTGGAACTATTCCTCCGGGTGTGCAGCGTTGATACCCGGGTGATAGATAGACTTTTCCGCAGATCCACCGCTATTCCCTTTCCTTTTCTGTCAGTTTCTCCACTTTTCTCCACACGACGATAACTCGGGTGTCACGACACGATTGACTTGATTTCTGAGGAATTTGGCGATACTGTCATCCAACGGGGATTGGACTGCTTCCTTCGGTTGTATGCGCCATTGTCATTTCGAGTTTGAGTATCTCTAGGATTTTATTTCTCTTCCAACTTTATGCTACTGACATGATTTTTTGAATGTGCTGGAAGACTACATAATCGTTGTTCTCATGTATACTTCAAGTAAGTAGGTAGCGCAACGATAGCACTGGAAAAAAATAATTTTTGTATTGGCTGATTGATTTGATTTTTTGGTACCACAATCACGTAGGACGAGAATTTCGCCAACAACCATATTAGGAAATGGACCTCCGCTGTAATTGTCAGTGTCTTGTACCACATAGCGCAGAGGTATAAATATCTGTTGACACGACCAAGGAAACTTACAGAATGAGCATCTTCAGTCGCAGCTTTGAATTCTGTGGTCACCCGACTTCCGAGCCTTTGCCCGTGGAGGACATTGTACAGCATGCGGCAAATATCGAAGCAATGATCGCGAAATACTCTATAGGGCTGGATGACGGTAATCATCCTACTACGTTCAAACGAAACTCCAAGCGCAGTGTAGCGAACGAGACCATTCTACTCACTGGATCTACCGGAAACCTTGGCTGTTGCATGCTTGCATCATTGCTTCGTATGGACCATGTTCGATGCGTATACGCGCTCAACAGGAAATCAACAAACATCATGGAACGTCACAAGGCTCAGTTTGAAGACAAGGCACTTGACGTCTCTCTACTATCTTCGCCGAAACTTGTCCTCCTGGAAGGCGAAATTCATCTCCCGAGCCTAGGTCTCTCAGAGACAGTAATCAACAAGGTAAGTATCACACATACAGCAGT